TCCAGCCCAGCTTCCTGCTCCAGTCAGGGCTGTTTCTAGCAATAGATCACATCTGTTGTGGCTTTGTCCAGCTGAGTTTTCAAAATCTCCAACCTATCACAGCCTGGCTGGCCTCTTCCAGCAGTTCCATTTACACAAGTGAAGGACATTAGTTTGATTATATCCAACCCAGAGATTTTAGCAATTGGAAGAGAAAAGTTTGATAGTAGCATTTTAGCTTCATTCTGGAACCCCTGGATCTTATCAGCCTTGATGTGGACTTAGAATGCAGGTAGTCTGAAATCTCATGTTTGTGTCAGCTTTAATGTATGTCCCTTGCAGGTGGGTTCAGTATAGACACCCCATGGCTCTACCTGTACACAGCTCACAAACTGCACCAGCCTCAGCATTCTGCTTATTTACTGACATCCCAGCTGACAGCTGCAAGGGCTCTCTCCATTAAAGACCTTGTACTGGAACTATTCTATAAAGACCAAGGCAATGAGAAGGAAGGAAAAGTTCACATTTACACACCAGCTACCACATACCTGCAGGTGGGTGACATGGTGCTTTGCAGGGTGTGTGGCTTTGGGGACAGGACTCTGTGGTTTCTAAGCTTCCTCCTCATTTATTTTAGACTGTGATATGCATAGAGATTTAAAACTAATTTAATCATAGTTGCTGTTCATTAGGCAATGTGGTAGACTTGTGTCACTATGCAATTTGACTTATGTTTATGATTAGGATGTTCCTTTATCAGCTTTTCCTCCTTAGGTCACTACTGCCTCAGGCACAGTCATGGAGAAATGTGAGAAACATTCTTGAATGAGAAAAAAGTGTTCATCAACTATTTAGCTTTTTGTCTCTCTCTTGTTTGGAGGAGATAAAATAAACTTTGAACTTTGTCTGGTAATTTGGGGTATTTTGATAATGGAAAAGATGGCACACATTTCTAATAGTTCTTGTAAGTGATCATTCTGTCACCTCTGTGCTGTGCTGCTGCACAATGGAATGCTGTCTGTCCTGGCTCAGCCAGAATAATGTCTTTGTTTTTCAGGCATCCACAGTTAATCATCTTGGGAGGAATGTTCTGCATAGCTATAGTGAAATGGTCTCTCTGTGGAATCAGCTCGTGAAGAATGAGATTCATTTGGAGAATAATGAACGAGCCAAACTTCTCTGCTTTAAGATAAAGAGTACAAAACAGGAATTTAACTTCACAGCCAGCTATCAGAATCTGCCAACGGTGAGAAAGAGAAACAAAAGCAATTTTTTTTTTTACTCAGCACTCTCTTCCTGAAAGATGTTATTGCTAGTGTTGAAACTTAAACCCTTCCAGTAATGCATTTATTTCTGTCTCTTTTGACAGGCTGCAGTGTAAATCTAGGTTCAAAAAGAAAACAAAAACTTGTGTGGCATGGTCTGGGGTACTTCTCACCTATTACAGAGCCCAGTCAGTCAGGGAGGAGAGGGTGAAGAGAGACAGTGTGACTAGAAAGAGAGCTGGAGATGTGGTAATCTCAACTTGATGAAGATGTATGAGAGGTGTAGAAGATTTTGCTGTCCTGGAGAATCAGAATCTCTTGTCTGTTAGTGAGCATGGTAACATCCCAGGTTTATAGGCTATTTTAATCTCTACATCCCTTCTAGTCTTAAAATAATTTTTGCTTTGTTGATGTCTGTGGCACAGGAAGGATAATCAGCAGTTTCTCCTCAAAAGAGGTTCTTTGATCAGTTACTTTGGTCCACTCACACCTTGAAGGAAGTCTTAAAAAGTGTTTTTCTAAACATAGCTTTGAAAATGCTTTTTCCATGCTTTGAAAATCCAGTTTGGTTTTTTATGTACCAGAGCTTGCCTGTGTTCAAGTAGGTGCCACTCAAGTGATACATTAATGGGCATTTGTCTTCTGCTGGAGTCAGTTTTCTACTGATGGCACTTTTAATCCTCTGAGAGATTAATGGAGATCTGGACTTAAACTGCAGCAGAAATGGTTTGTCTGTGAAGTGACAGCCTTGCTGCATCCTGTTGAACAACATGGTTTCCATATTGAGGTTCCTGAATATGAATGCAGTAAATCTGATGCAATTGTCCTTTCCTGTTTTGGTCTCATGATCTGAGTGCAGCCTAAGAAGACAAACTTTTCTGTGAAGATTGTATGGAGAGATTATAAAAGTCAGCCTGTTGTACTGCAGTGTGAAGGTCAGATAAAGGAGCTGAGGAAGGAGAAGATGCTCTATCAGAAACGTGCAACCTTCCATTTCAGGTTTAGTATTCTGATCTCTATCTTTTAAGAATGTTTTGGCCTAAATTTAATGTGCATCTTGGTGCTCTTAGGAAATGTTCTGGGCTTTACAAAGTGAGAGTGGCACATGCACAGAGTCTGTTCTTTGTCCCATCTGGTTCCCTGAACTTGCTCAAGTACAGCAGCTTCATGGGTTGATTTTTTGCATCCATTAGGTTTTGGCCTCTTTGTTGAAATGACAATGAACAGGCCTGTTACAGGCAACAGCCCATGTGTGCTGTGGCATGTTTGCTGGCAGCTCAGCCAGGCAGATAGCCTCCTTTCCTGAAAACAGCAGGATTTATGGTGCGTCCAAACTTGTATGTGGTGAGAAGTTCCAAAATCCAGATCTGATTCTCTGTGCCTTTTTCCTAGTCCTTAGGCATTATATAGTCATTCTAAAGCCAGAGGTATCCTCTTAGAACATGTAACAAATGATCTTGTTTAGGTTTTGGAATATATTTCCATTTTCTGATGAGAATGAGTACACTTCTCCTACATGTTGGCTGTCCCTGAAATTTCTCTCTTCATTATCCATTACTAAAACGCAGCCTGAAGGCCTTATTAAAAATGTGTGCTCAGATTAGAAACATCTGGATCACTTCTGGGGACATCTCAGCTTTCTTAAGGCACAGCAGCATCAACAGGAGTGCACAGGAGTGCTGCCTTAGGAGCCACTGTGCAGCTTAGAGATAACTAAAACACTGGGAGGTGGCTTTTCAGTAGAAAAATATGTAAATGAAGAGCTGTACCAGGTATTCTAACATGAGTAAAGGCAGTCCAGCGTCTGTTTATAAGGGTTTGTGCATGCTTCCAAGAGGTCTGACTAAGTAAATGTGCAGAAATATTTAATCAAGTCCATAAACCATTGCACTGAAGTAAACTACTCTTAGAGCTGTGCAGTGCTGAACTTCTGTTGCACAGGATTCTTGGCATGTAGGTACTGTTTCTGCATAAAGCATAAAATGTGGATAGGTGAAATTTTCAAACCTGCCAGGAGCTTTTGGACACTCCCTGTTTGAAATGAAGTCTTGGCCATGCAGGTGTAGAAGGTGTATGTGCTGGTTATGCATGTCAGAACCTTAGAGCAGAACCTTCTCCCATGCATTTACCAAATCCAGGATAGAAACTCTATCAAAAATTCAGACTAGTGTGTGGAGTTTGTATAAAGTTGTCATTATGCTCTGTAGTTTCCTAAATGTCCAGTCCCATGTGTTTTGCTTCTATACCTGACACCCTAGTGGTAGCAGATAACTTTGGAGTTCAAATTGAACTCTGCATGATTTCTTTTTGTCGTTGTCTATTAAGATCTTTTACACTTTGTTTATTTCTTGGGTTTTTTCCAGGCATCCTTTTAAAGTGCCTTTTCTGCAGAGCTTCTTTCTGCAGGAGACATTTACTGTTGACAAAAAGCAAAAGCACTATTTCATGGAAACAAAAGTTTTGATAAATGGAGTGGAGGAAACAGTTCAGACTCTCATACTTGGTTACCAACCTGAAAACCCCTATGTGAGTTATCCAAAAACTTCCTTTAGTCTGTAAATGAGTGGTTTACTGGAGAAAAATGCCATTTTACTTATGGTCCTTGCATTTTTTCTCAAACTTCTTTTTAGATTTGTGCTGGCTTAACTCATCCTTATAACTACAGCATGTTTCCCAAAGATGTTGAAATGTGCATTTTAACTCTAAGTCATCAAAATGTGAGTAAATTTCCCATTAGATTAGTTAGGAGACATTAATTATCTGTTTATTTACACTTTGTCTTTTCAGACCTCACTTGCTATAGGTCTTTAGTTTCTCACCACAGAGTTGCTGCAACCAAAATTTTCAGAGGGTGATTATGTCCTTAGTACCGCCTTAATTTTGTATAATAATATGTTGTGTAGTAATCCATGATAAGAATACTTCAAATATTATTTTTAGAATGTTATTATGCATTAATGTGATCAATAAAACAAGTACTGGGATAGAAGGGATTCAGGGTTCTCACCCTTATCTAGCTGTGTCTATTCCTCTTTCTTACCAAATGTATTTTTTAAGCTATTTTTCCTTATTCTCTTGTTTTTCATTCTGAGCCAAAATGTAATAGCTTGAAACCTTCATTTTTCACGATGTGTAGGGATGACTTCTCTGATCTTCCATAATACACAGGGTTAATGCTCAGTGCACTTTGCTTACTCCCACTCTTACACAGGTGAAGCATGAGCTTGAGACTGTCTTAAAGGTGAATAAGGAAGATGTTCTCAGTTTTCTAGGGAGGTATCAGGACAAATCCAGTGAGGCAGATTTCAGACATCTTTTACACATGGATGTGACACACTCATTCCAGGTACTGGGTGGGTTTAATTTTTGGTATTTTTTATGTCTTGCTGACTGTTTTACTGTGTTGTCTTTAGAATTATAGTTGTTTGTTGCTGGTAAATGTCCTAATCCAATCAAGTCCCGGCCCTGACAAATAGCTGTAGGTATCTCAGCAGGTTCACTTATGAATAAATTGTTTGTGTCAGTAATACTTTGTAAGGCACACATTGGCCTTTTTTCATGCTTTTTTTACTGCTTTCAATATATTTTTCAGTATCTTGGGATATAACTGGTAAAATTTGATATGCACATTTGCTTATATGCATCACCCACTTTGTGCTAGAAGCTGAGACACGAAATCAGATGAGGCAACTGGGGGGAATGCAATGTTCTGTTCTGATACTTTACCTTGTCAAATAGCTTGAGTTTCCACAAGCAATGGCCCTAAGTGGGGAGCTGTTCTCCAGGCAGACTAAACTGGAACACTTGGACTGTGGTGTGAGTGTAAAAGTCATCATCAACAAGAACACGTCTTCACAGGTCAGTCTCCTGGTCATTACAGTCTTGTTGCTTCAACTTGAAGCTTTTGTAGTTTGTACACTCAATGACTGTAGTGAAGAGGTGTAAATTGTTAGGGAAACAGTTAACTTTTGATGCTTAGATTTTGTTCTGGCTAGATAGCTACACGGGGTTGGAATAGTTGGTTTGTGTTTTGGCTGAAGTTCAGAAAACTCTTAATGTCTAATTAAATTGTACTTAAAATTGAATGTAGCTCATATTTTGTTGTGACAGGGTTGGGATAAAGACAGGGAGATCACTTACCCATTACCTTCATAGACAAAACAGGCTCAACTTGGGCAATATTAATTTAATTTATTGCCAAATAAATTTAGTTAGATTATGAGAAACAAAGATGAGAGCTAAAAGCTCCTTTCCCCCTTTGCTCCCCTCTCTGCTTTTGTCCACTCCCAACCTGTCTGCAGTCTCATTGCTCAGGCTGATGTTTCAGTATGTGTATGATAATCTGAGATCCTTAATGTCCTGCTCTCCTTTTTCTCTGTGTGCAGGCCCAGGCAGCCCTGAAGAGTTATGGTGAGAACAATGTCAATGGCTCCCTTCACCTGCATTCCAATGGAAGGGAAATGCTGATGCTGGAGGTTGCTATGAACAATGAAAAGAGGAGGAATGCCAGAATTGTTGAACTGAGGGCTTTTCTCCATCAAACAGTCCTGACAAATCCAGAATCAGTACAGTTCCAGCTCATGAGCAAGATATTTCCATCAAGGTAGAGAAATCAGAATGTTGGTTAATTGAGGAACGTTCTGGAATGCAAATTTAAATGTAATTGCTTTCCTATGGCTGCAGCAAGGCCACTGAGTAAATGCCAGTTCCTGTGTTATCCCTATTATTGAAATACTTCTGCTCATGTTTCATAAGTTGGTATAAGGTGTGTTAATGTGTTCTAGATGCTTTTGAAGGACTTTGTATAGAGAACTTTGAGTGAACAGATAGTACAAGTTATGCCAGTGGAAAAGGGCACTTCCCAGTGTTTATTATAAGGTTTTTAAAGTATTGGAGAAAGCTCTCAGGTGGCAGAGATGGGAAATAGCAATTTGACTCTCCAAGTTTCAGCTGATTTTTCAAATGTCACAAATACAAAAGTATGCAATGAAGAATTTTAGAACTTCTGCCGAGGTCCCAGTGTTTACTAATTGGATGGGATAAGGAGAATGAGAAAATAAGAGTTAAAGAAATCAGAACTTACTACAATTTAGATGAAGCACATTAGATTTACTAGTAATACTAAAAATAGATAAAATATTCCAAGAAGGGTATTTCATATGGTTCTGTAGTATGCTTGCAGTTCTGGGTTTCCAAAAGGGCATTAATTTGTTTAAATACCAGGGTAAGCCATAAGAGAGCAATTTATTGCAGTTCACAGGAAAGAAAACAGAGCACTTAAAATTTTTGGAATGACAGTTTGTTTAGAGTTTGTTTTACAGGGAGAATACAAACAAAAATAAACTGTTAAATGTTTCTGGAGAACAGCTAAAAGGATGCAATCTGTACAGACTTCAGTTACTGACTGATGGAATCAATCTTACTTCTCTGAACTGTGTAGTTTTGTTCTTCCCATGGAGTGGATTTTCACTGAGGTTATACTTGTCATCAGTCTTCCAACAGGGTTCCAGTTTCTAGGAGGGATGTCTAACACTATGAAAACTGGAGTGATTGCCTCACTTTTAGGTATTTTGTGTAGTATACTTGAGTCTAGAAAGTCAGACAGTTTAGTGGGTATTTTGTTGAAGGCCATGTGAAAATTGTGTCTCAATCTTATACTTAAAACACTGAAAATGGAACTTTTTGTTGCTCCAGCAGGTTTCCTTAAAAAGCTGTGCCATGTTTCTCCAACACCATTCAATTCAGGGTCAAGATGCAAAGAAATATTGTTGGTTCATTTACCAAACTCAAATGCTGGTGACACTTAAAATTATTTTTTAAACTGGGTTCTCAAATGCTGCTTTTAAATCAGCACCAAAGAGATATTTCATATTGTGACAGAGAAGCTTCATTACCAACTCCAAGTCTGCCCAGCTCTTTCTTTTATTAGGACCCATAACAAAAGCTTTCAAGAAATTTAAAGGAAAATTAGTCTGCCAATGTGGGAAGCTTTACTGAGGGATTTATAAACATGTGGTGAATCGTATGTGCTGACTGCAAGGCATCTGATGGCCTGAGTCACAGCACTGGAATGAGTGTCCAGAGAGTCTGTGGGGTCTCCATCCTTGGAGATACTCCAAGCCTGACCACACACACTCCTGAGCACCCTGCTCTCATTGATCCTGCTTTGAGTGAGGAGGGCTGTCTTGACAATCCTGAATCAACCATAAAAGTATCTTACTGGCAATTTTATGTCTGTCTTTTTAGACTTCTGTTGTCTTCTGACTTGAAGCTTAATGAAAATAGGCTTCAAGTGGATTTCATGGGAGCCAAGGAGCAGAAAGTTGGTTTTGTTTTGTCCCTGAATGGAAGAGTCCAACACACTTTTACTGGAATAAAGGCCATACCTCATCTCCTTTCTCTGGATGGATTACTGAAGTGCAAAAACAACATTCATGACGGTACTGTGTTGCTTTGTGTTTTGTTCTAACCTGCAGCTATCTAAGGACACTGCTTAATTGTAATTGAATCCTTCCTGGGCTGCAGAATGTACTCATCTCTGGGGCCCCCAACAGAAGAGCAATGTGTACCTGTGTACCACAGAGGTATCAGAGGGCTGGAGTCCCTCTGCTCTGCAGCCAGGCTGGGAGAGCTGGGGTTGTCAGCCTGGAGAAGAAAAGGCTCCAGGGAGACCTCAGAGCCCCTCCAGTACCTAAAGGGGCTCCAAGAGAGCTGGAGAAGCACTTTGGACAAGTCTTCAGACAGAAGGCAGGTTTAGATTGGATATTAGGAAGAAATTCTTGTGTGGGTGATCAGACAATGGAACAAATTGCCCCGAGAAGCTGTGAATGCCCCATCCCTGGAAGTGTTCAAGGCCAGGCTGGACAGGGCTTTGAACAACCTGGGGCAGTGGGGTTGGAACAAGATGGACTTTAAGGTCTCTCTATCCTGAACCATTCTGTGATTCTGTATAATGCAGAACAGAGTACTTAGCATGCAAAATCAACCCTGGGTCATTGGGTTGAGACTATTTTTCAGTGAAAATAGTATGGGTTCAGTAACATAGTTTGGATTTTTCATGTTTTCATGGATTAAAGGAAATAGTGGGTGGCCTCTTTCCTCTTCTGAAATGTGGGGGCTGACTTGAGAGTCCCACTCCTTTGAATGGCCCCATGGGTGGAGTAGGTCACTGCAGAGCTCTGGAGGGATTGATTAGCCTGCAATTACACAAGTACTAGGTCACAATCCATCTGTAAATTTTCCTTCAGAGGGAGTGCAGTATAGTACAGGGCCTAAGGGCACACAAAGCTTGGTGAATAAAAAAGAACAGCTGCTAGAAATACTATAATGTAATTTATTTTAAACACAGACACTCACTAGTAGAAAAACCCTCAAAACTGAACTGCTTTGCTCTCTAGATTAGGCAAACTTATCTAGTGTAATAAATGGAAATTTTTCTACTTCTTCCTGGTATTAAAGTAATGGTTAATTTATACATTATTTCTAAAACTGTGACTATTTCTGTCCCAAGAATCTCTCTCTCCACAGTAATAATTTCTGCCTGTTACAGGTAACATCAATGTGATGGTCAACCAAAGACTGTATGGACTGCAAGTCAGGAACAGGAACGTGTTTGGGAATACCACTGTGCACAATCTCACTGTTGCCATGGTTCAGAATGGCAGTCAGGCAATCCCAGGGGAGGCAAGACTGAAAGGACACCTGGAACTGAGTAAAGAGAAGAAAAGGGGGCTAGCTAGCTTCCAGGTGGATGAGAAGGCTCTTTCTGTAGATTTTTTCAATATCATGGATCATGGGCACAGCAGAGTCAGTGGGACTTTCACACATAATGTTGACTTTTTAAAAGATGCAGGTAGGAACAAAATCTGACTTGATGGTGTGTTCTAATAAGGTGAATTTATCTAAATGACTTCTGATCAGTGGAAACAGATGAGTTGTGTTTGTTCCCCACCGGAACAAAATGTGTTCTAGACTTAGCAGCATTCTTTTGAATATTGTTGAGAAAGTTAAATTGACACAGAAATAGTTCAAAGAGTTTTGAAATATTTCAGAGTAAATTATTTCTTTCTTGTACATCTGTGTTCTTGCACAGCATCTAAGCTAACCAGTTCCTCCAAGTGTAGTTTTATGCCAAGTGTGGTTTCCTAAGCAAAGCTGTGGATTTTCATGAACTGGAGTTATCAGTAATTTTCATGGGTTCCTTTGGACAGAATAAATATTTTCTGAATTTTTCTGACAGCTGACTACTGGAGTTGGACACAGTACCAATTGGTAAATATTCTTTATCAAAAGAAGGAAAGTTCTTGATTTCCAAAGTACCTGCCACATTTTAATTTAGTAGTCCCCTTTTAATATGATTTTCACCTGGTAGGTAATGTCCTTCTATAAATATCAGTGAAGTGATCACACTTTATATAAAGGTGTGTGTTTTCTTATGAAAAACTACAGAAGGCTTCTTTTGATCTGTAATACATCTTTGTAGTCTGTAATGACAACCCAGAAGTGCTGTGTTGATTTTACTTCCTTCCCTGTCAATAGGGTTGCCTTTGGATGGCATTCTTACTGCCACATGTGAGCATGGCACAGGAAACCACAGCATTGCCATAGCCCTGCAGAGTGGCAGTGACAGGATGCTTGCTGTGTTTGAGGGGCACAGAGTGGCCACAGAGCCTCCAACATCCCAGCTGACTGTGAGCTTAAAGCACAACATCTCAAAGATCAAGGAACATGGGATCCCTTTTGTTTTAGAAGCTGCTGGCTATTATGAGGTAAGAAGAGTTCTGCCTGTGAAAGTTTAATTTCTGGCAGGACCATTTGTGTATATATAATAACTCTAGGCTTTTCCTATGCAATCTATATTTTTATTTTAGAAGCTGCTCTTTTTTTGAGATGTACTAAATTACTGAGTGAAAGAAAGGTGTTGTCTGCCTCCTTGTCATACTGTGGACCTGTCATCTGAGCTCCTGGAGATGAACCTAGACTAAATGAGATGCTCCATTCAGTTCTCATTTAAGTGAAATGCTTTTCTGCATATGAACATATGTCTTGTCCAATTTTATCTTTCCCCTAAAAATGGGAAGTGGACCACCAGGCCTAAATCTTCCCTCTGGTACTGAATTTAACTGGTCCTGGTGTCATCCTTTGGATGGTTGCTAAAGATCAGAGCAGTGTTTAGCATGGCTTTCCCTTTGGAAATTTCTACCCCCAGAAGCATTGTGGGCCATGGTTCCTGGCATGGTGTTGCTTGGCCACTCTTCTCTGCATCTGCATTTCTGCTATAGATCTGTGAATGTTACAGCTCTATTGTATTGCAGATTATCTTTTCATAAAAGAAGAGCTCAAATACTTTGCTATCTCAGACATCCACTGAAAGGCTCAAGTCACTCACATGCTTATATTTGAGTGGCTTCAACCTCTGTGGTAGGGTGAGACACAGAGGTGTGCAAAGAATTCTGAACAGTTCCTCTGCCTTGCTTTTTAATAGTGCCAGTGCTTTAATTGTTTGTGCCTGAGGGCTCAAATCCTTCAGGGTACTGAATGCTCTCAGTATGTTTTGGAGCCAGAAGGAATTATTGATACACTGCATTTAGAAGGTCTGGCATAACACTACAGTCTCTATTTGAAATGAGGCTGCCTTGATGAATTTGCACTTTTATTTTACCAGTGCTGCCTTCCTGACACAGGCTGTGATGTTTAAGCCCAGTGCAACACACTCTGCCTTTCCCAGTTGTTGTTTTTTTCCATGATTTGCTTTCTTCTGTGCATAGAATTTCTCCAGAAAGATTGCTGCAGGGATAACAACCACAGTGGAGACAGAGCAGCTCAAGATTGAAATAGAGAAGAAAACCACTGACACTGCTATAGAAATTTCTCTTTCACTTCACCATGATGTGGGAGGACTGATGGACATTGTTCCACGTGTACTAGAGGTTTGCAGAAATCATGCCATTTATTTTAATGTATTTAGTGCACTAAACTGTTTATCTTTTGGAAACAGAACTCTAACTTTTAATCTATGTTTTGGTGCCTTCATCCATTTGATCCTTAAAGCAGCTTTGTAACTTGCTCCTTTGAATTTTAGTTCTACCTGCTTTTCTTAATTTTCTGAATGTGCTTTGTTGACAACATCAACAGGTTGCTTGCAGTGGAGAATCTGCTAACAAACAACTTTCTGGCCTTTGCAATGGTGCAATTGCATTCCATCATTTTGAGGTACTTGCTTCATTTATAAACTTTGCTCTCAACAGCACAGTGTCTTATCTACTGTGGAGGGAATAAGTACTGAAAGTATCAGACACTTAGAAATGGATTTGAGCTTCCTGGAAGTTTTGTGTGCACTTTCAAATATTTTCATTAATAATTGGTTTGGGTTTTCTTCCTGTTGTTTCTATTATGGAACTCCAAAATAAAGATTTGAGTCCATCTCTCCATTTGTTTCAGCATTTATAATTATGTAGGATGAATACAAAGTGGTGTAGGGAACAGTTCTCTCTAGTAATATGAGCTTTTAAAAACAGTATGTGACCTGACAGGAAAGCAAACTTGACCACAGTTTTCTGTAATTTTTCAGACTCCAGCAAGAGTTTCACTGAATGGGTCAATATTTACCAGCAACTTTACTCTCATCCTCTTTGGACACATTTCTTTTCATGACGTATTTGCCTGCCTACAACTCTATGCCACCAGTAACACCCATCCTCATTTAGAAATCGACTTCCAGCATTCTTTGCCTTCACTTCATTCTCTGGGAATTGCCAGAGAGAACCAACTGAAGGTGTCAGCCATGAGAAGTGACAAGTACAAGGGCATCCTTGGTATTGTCCTCGGGCCTTGCACTTTGGAAGCTGATGGGGAAGTGAGCCTGGCAGGCAATGAGACAGGATGGGTACTTGCTTTTAGAAACAAGTGCGTCAGTCTAGAGGTAAGCCCAGATTGTTGTTTTCTGCATGCCCTTCCAGTCTGTGTATTTCAGATCACTGACTCACAGAAAACTGTCTCCTGATACATTTATGGATAGGCCAAATTTGGTCATTAAAGTTCTTACAGAGCAATGAGTCAGAGCATTTGCAGGGGGAAGTGGTAATTTGGAGTAATACAATGGTAGGTGTTGCCATAAAAATGTTGCTTAATAATAGTTTATTAATTAAAATAAACTTTTGTCCTAAAATCTAGTGAAAAGCATGTCCTTTCAGTGTGGAATTGTGGAGGTTAAGATTTTTTCCTTCTGCATTAGTTATGAAAAGATTATTTGAGGATTTATTCTTCTTTCCCCTCTCCCCCCCATGTAGATTTTTTCAGGTTTTTCACAGAGAAATTTCTGATTTCTCTCTGAATCAAGCTGTCTTGTATGGTCCTTTCCAAACACAGATTGTTTCAGAAAGAAGAAATGCTTTCTCATGAATTAGGAACAAATGCGAAGACAGTTGCTTTGCTTTGTGTGTTTTAAATTGTGTAATCTTTTCTGTTGCAGAGGATGGGATTGCCTCGTGCTGCAGTCTTGGGGGGCTCATTTCAGCAGAACATCTGCAACGTGGGCTTGTTAATGAAGCTGCAGTGTGATGGCAGAGCAGTGGATGTGCAGATAGACACCTCCTGCCAGCATGAATACACACTCCAAGGGATGCTCAGGCATTCGTTTCCCTGGCTCAGCCAGCTTGGGCTGCCTTTTGAAAACTCAATCCTGTTCTCTGCAGCCACAGACTCCACCACAGAGGGCATTTTCCTGCTGCAGGCTGGCAGATGCAGACTGAGGGCTAGAGGGGACCTCTGCATTCAGAATAAAGCTGACTGGACACTGGAAACAGAAACAGAATGCCAACTTCTGCAGGTAGCTCTGGGAGGGTTTTAAAGAGAGTTTGGGGATCCAATGAAGGCGCTGTGGGTTTTAGCCAATGTGGCACTGCTGGAGCGCTGGGAAGGCACTCTGAAGGCAGCCCTGTCCCAGCATTAGGCAAAGGCAGTGTCACACAGTGTCCTGCTCCAGGTGCTCTCTGGGACTGAGATCGGTTCAGCCTTTGCTGAGCGCTGCCTTTGCAGGCCGACACTGCCCTCTAAGGCTGAACAGCAAGCTCAGCCTGAACTCTGCCAGAAATACATTCCCTGGTCTGTGAGCCTTCTATCAAAAGAGAACTTCCTTGGTTTTTCCAATTAGCCTCACTGACTACGTTGGAAAGAATGACTATTGCAAAATCAGGGTTTTTTCCTAGATGTTCATAGGCATTTATATTTTGCTTTCAAATCCTCAAACTGAGTAACTTCCTCAACTACAAAGTGGCAACATAAAAATGACAGCAAAGTTGTAGTGAGAAGGGAATGAACACCCCTTAAAGTATTAAAAATAGTGGAATTTTCAGTGTTTGTAGAAATCCTTTGACAGAATGGGAAGAAACCTTTCATTTGGGATGTTGCACAAGACAAGCTGGAAGTTTAATTATTATAAAAAACAAACCTTCTACAACCAGGTGCATGAATGTCTGTTAGGCGTATGATTTTTTGTACATTAATTTGTTTGAAAACAGATTGGTGTGGTCTGGATGAAACATAGAATGTTTAGTAAACTTTGCCTATCTGAAGAAATATGTATTTTATGGTTTTTGTAAATGTAAAACTTTGTAAAGATGCAGAAGTCGTGAATTCTGCAGGACAGTCCTTAAATCATCAGGTCTTATTCAGGAAAAATCACCATCTTTCTTGTTGAGGGGGAGAAAAATGGCAGCTTGGAGATTGTAGGTTTTGTCTCTGATAGAGTATCATATAATATACACTTGTCTTAAAGTTTGTATATTCCAAAGGATTTTTTGTTTAAATCTTGCTAGGATCTCAGTTTCCCAACTCAGTCCCGGCTCACAGGATCCATCCAGAAGGACAAGTGCCAGGCAGAGCTGCTCTCTGTCCTGGAAACAGGAGGCAAAACTGCCCGGCTTGAAGTGAGAGCAGAGTGCAAGCCAAAGCTGGCTCTGGAAATTCAGTTCAGGCATGACCTCCCCCAGCTGAGGGAAATCCCAAGGGAAAATGAGCTGTCCATCACTGCACGGAAACACCTCAGATATGTCATTGGAGTGGGAATGAAACTGGGGGCCTGTGAGCTTCAAATGAATGGGGACTTTGATCCTGAGAAGAACCGGCAGTGGAAAATGCTTATAGAAAACAAATGCCAAACAATTCAGGTATGGAAAAGAATTTTCTCCTTTAATGTTGAATTTATACATCTAACTAGTATAATGCTATGCTAAAGTCAAAAGACAATAATCTAGGTACTTCAAAGAGATAGCAGAGAAATAATAAAAACATTCTCTTTAAATGTTGCATCTTACTTCTAGATCCAGTCATTTACAGTATTTTCATATGGCATACACCAAATTTTCTGTTAATCAGTACCTGCAGATAATGGACTTCCTTGTACTAGCTCTGATGTGTTTTCTAAAAGATGATTGAGAACTCTGAAGGGTTTTTCTGTTCAGAAATTATGATTATTCAAAGTTGTCTCTCAAGATTTCTGAAATATCCTGTGCCTATGCTGCCTGATATACTTGACTTACAGCTAGGTGATTAAAGTTACTATTATGAATTAAGTTTCAGAGCTATAATGTATTTGTGGTTAAGTGCTAAAGTGGTGGTTTTTAAAATTTTGTTCTTTCCTTTACAGGATCTTGGAGCACCAATGAAAATTGATGGCTCAGGCTATCTTTTGATGGATGAAATGAACCTAGATTCACAGACACTGATCACTGTTGATGAAAGTAAATTCCGAGGACTCTTTATACTAAAAGTCACTGATGTGAGTACCCTGCAGGCTGTTGGAGTGTGTGAACAAAGTACTCAGTAATGTACTCTAACATATGTTATTTGGAACAAATAGTCAAGCTAAAGTAATAAATGCCAGAATAAAATTGAAATAATAAAATCTTTGAAAATCTGGCACCTTCAATGTGCAGTAACTGATGCATAGGACAATAGGATATAGGCTCTGGCACTTCCTGAATAATTTCCTTGTTATGCTCTTTATGTGTAAATTTTTGTTGTTTGTATTCTATTGTTGGATGTTCTTACTTTTTGTTGTTTGTATTCTACTGTTCTTTACATCACTGTGATTTACCCTGCAAAATAATAGGCAGTGATTAAAGGAGACACTGCTGTTTATTCAGTTAGAGAGCAACACAGGGAAGGCTGTGAACCTCTTGCTTTTCTGTTGACAATTACAAGTTTGGATTCTCTTGTCATCAGAGCAAGAGAGCAGAGAGCAACACAAGTACCTGTTTCCTCAGGTGCTTCACTTTCCTGCCAAAACTGGTAATTCCTGCATGTTTCTGTGCCATAGGGAAACAACATAGTGGGAGTTTAATTCCTCTTAAATGTAGGATAGACAGGATAGACAGATTTCTCGTTTGAGCTCTGTACTGCAGTGGTCTGTGGGTTCTCCATGTGCTTTGCTCTGTGCTGTGAAATGTTAACAGGAAAGACAAGAGCTGGATGCAGTGCTTACCCATAACATCCAAGGAGCTGCTGACATTGGCATCCCCATGAGGATGTTACTTGATGTGATATCAGAAAAAACCAGTGACTTCTATAAAGGATTTATCAATTTCTGTGTGAACAACAAGCAAGTAAGTGTCTTCTCCATATCAGTAATATGTGAAATAGAAGTTGAAGTGAGTTAATTGATTTGGTAAATATTGTTTCAAATGCAATGCTTAGCTGTGGCTGGGTTAGTTCTAAAGGCCTTCATTAAATGAAGGCAGTATCCTTCAGCCAGTCCTTTTGTCCTTCTGTGCAATTGCTCCTTGCAACAAATTTGACATCATCAATGATCCTTGACTCTCATTTGTAAATGATCTCAAACCTTCCTTATCAAGAATCTCACTTGGTGCAGCATATTCCCTTTTTAAGTACAAAGCCGTGACTTCTAAAAAAATTAGACAGTTCTTCACCATAAAATTTTCATAGTTTTCATAATTTTATTCTAATGTGTAATTAGTCCAATGATTATGGTTATTCAGAGAAGTCTCCATGTCAGAGATGTGCCACAGTTAACTTTTGTCATATTTACTTGAATTGAGCAGATTACAGAAGAACTGAACTTTGTCCAGAAGTTGGATGTTGTGTCTCTTAACTACAAACTTACTCATAACATAGACACATTGAAGACTTTGCAAATAAAAGACAGGATTGAGTTGCAGGTAGGTTGTGAACCTGGAGCCATGGCACGAGGGGGGCACCAGCTGGGGAAGTGAGATGGCAAAGGGCAGTGGGTGTAGATGGGACTTTACCCGTTTGCTGTTTTGGTGAGGGGGAGTCCAGGTGCTCCCTTTGTTCTTGAGGGGAGTCCAGAAGCTCAGTTTGTTCTCATGGGAGAAGAGTCTGGACCAGGACTTTCCACAGGCCTGGGGCTGGAGGTTGCTCCAGTGTGGAGTGAGAGGAGGGCACTGGATCTGTGTCTGACAGAGCTGCAGTGTCCCCTGCACACACAGGGCAGAGGGCAGCACTGCTGGGATTTCACTGGCTCCTTTCCAATTGGTATTTTCCTTCTGAAATTGCTATTACCATTGCCATTACCTGGCATATTTTTTAATCTGATAAACACAAGACTTATTAACCATGTAACTGAATAGCATTAAATCATGGCCATACTTGAGAATACATGTTAAATGGTTGAATTCCAAAATAAAAGGGACAATTATAACTATGTTGTGTTGTGTTATAAAATGATACAAGATGCATCTTTGACATATCTTTGAGATTATACTGTCTCAACCAAAGAAAGAACCCTGACCAGCAGGAGCTTTAACTTTTACAATTCTGTCCTTTCACAATTTACTTTTGTTGCACACAGGCTATCTTGAACCTCAAAGTTACCAGGAGCTTTGGTTTGAAAGTTCTTTATGGTGCTCACCTGACAGTTCTTGAAGGACAAATTCAGGAGTTGGAAACAAGTACCAACATAACAGGGAATTTCCATCACTCTTTGCCATGGCTGCTACAAGCCAAAGTCCCATCATCTTTGCAGGTCATTTTGGATTTTGGTTGTTTTGTTTGTTTTTAATTATAATTATTGTCCTGTATAAGGATGTAATTCAAGTTCATGGCTTGAATGAAAACTCCTATTTTGTAAGGCACAGGATGGAAGCTGATATTTTCTCATATTTACAAGCTGTGGATGCCTAAGACCTGAACTACTGAAATAGAAAGTTTCTCCTTGACTGCTTTCTGAACAAGATTCTTCCATTCTGGTCAGTGGTAGTAGATTGGGTACTGCTGATATTGTAACTCTACAGGACAGTAGAGCACATTGCACCAGGGACTGGAGTATTGCTCCTGTGCTCTTGAATGGGAATTTTATACTGAAAGAAGTGTTTCTTTGGGTGCTATTTTGAGAGAAGTATTGGAGTACCCACTGTCTGGTAAATATTGTCACTAGGTGTATATTAAGTATCCTTTACAAGAAGGAAGTTGTGTTTGTGGGATAAAAAAGAACAGAATGAAAATTTGCCATAGATCAGTGAGGCAGGCATGGCTTGACATTCATTCAGTTGAATGAGCTTCATACTTGAAAGATGATTAATGAAAGACCAAGAGACATTTTATTAATGTAGACATAAGTGTAGACTAGCCAGAGCTTTCTTTCACTTCCATTTTCTCCTGTCTTAAAACTAAATACTACATAAATATTGTTTTGAGAACTTATATTTACATGTCATTTTTAGATAGATGTGGTTTTCCAAGGGAGAAACACAACTCAAGAGAGATATGTGCACATTGCAGCTGGAGAAACATCACTCACATACATAATAAACTCCCGTTATGTTGGCCACCAAGTGGATCTGTTCTGCCAGAGTGTGCACAGCAGTGAGGTTCTCCAGGCTTCAGGCTACCCTAAGGCAATCAACTTGATTTTCAGTGCACAGAAATCAGGTGGGTACCTGCCATTCCTGACTGGGTTTTTATTCTATAATAGCTCTATCTGGATGTTTCAGCTGGTCCTTCAACAGGCTACAGACTGACTAAGATTTGCTGGTAGTACCTAAAAAGAGGTTTTATCTTGTTTGTAAGTAAACCTGTCATTCTGAAACTGCATCTGTGATTAATGAAGCCAATTCACCCTCAAAGCTTGCCCTGGCATAAATCCTATCTGCATATCTCTCTTACACTGTGATCAGGTACCTTAAGTGCCCCCAGGAGAATTTATTCATGTTAAAGAAAACTAACAACTGTGAGAGCACCAAAGGGCAGGAATCACTGAGGTTAGCAGGCACTGAATCAATACTGGTGTGAGTGGCATCAGATCCTTTCACCCATTCAGAACAAAGCAACAGGAGAGGAGGAGAGGTTGTTCTCAGGACAGCCACAGTCACCATGTGATTTCCACCACAAACCCACCATTTCTGTGGATTTTGTCTTACCTTAAAGAATTTGCAGAGTTTCACATCTCTTATCTCACTTTGATATTTTAGCAGTCTTGTATTTTCCTTTACAAAAATGAGAAGTTGTAGGGCAGTAGGGAAAGGTCTTCAGGTCATGCACTTTGGGCATTGTTGAGCTGCTGTAGCTGGGTGCAGAGGAGTCCCTGGAGGTGAGAACAGCTCAGAGCTCTTCCCTGGGAGGGGCTGCTGCAGGCCAGGGATGCAGTTGGCTGTATGGGTTAGTCAGCTCTAGCTGCACAAACACATTCCTGACAGGAACTAACTTGCCACTTAACACTGATGTGGGTACACAAGCTCTGTTATTACTACAAGACTTTGTAAGGACGAAGTTCAAGGACATCCAGAAAAACTCTTCCCTCCTCCAACCACAGGCTGAAGTTCTTGTAATCCTGAATGATGACTTTGTCTTGATGAATGTATTAAGCTAAAAGCTGTCTGGGTTGAGTTTATGCAGGCAGTACTGAAATTTCTCAAAAATCAGCTGCTCAAATTGGAACTGTTTTGTCCCTTCATATAGAAAACAAAGCCAAGACTGTCTGTGAAATCCAGTATGATGGGAAAGATATAACTGTGACTGTGGACGTTGACACAGACTTTGAACTCTCTGGTATATTTGTGTTCATGGCAGAGGTGAAGCATTCGATATCACTTCTCCATCACCTGGGACTTCCCTTCTTTTTTAAGGTAATGCACCTCAAAACTTTTGCTGTGCTTTGATGAAAGCTGTCACTTGAGTTACATTTGCATTAATCCAGAGCACTTCCCGTGGCCTCAGTGAAATTTCTCCAGGTTTATATACAAGTGCAGCTGAGAGCTGACTTGGCCCAGTTTATCTGAATCCTCATTTAACCTAAGTACAAAGCTAGTGGTCAGTTTCTAGGGAGCCTGGTCAGGTACCTGAGATCCCCATTTCCAGGGTTAATAATTTCAGGAGGACAGGTATTTACTGTCACTTTGCAGCTGATAGGGCTCACAAAAGTAGAAAGAACTTTTGGTAGAAAACAGCTGACCTTCATACCTAGAGAACTCCTTGCCTTGGTTAAACCACTTGTAGCACAAACATCTAAAATGCTTCAGTGTTGAATAAACAGAGGTAGATTTATATTCCAAACTACTTGACAGGATCAACAAAGGCTGTGTCTGTTTATCCCTTGGGAGAAAGAAGCATTTCTTGAAATATCCCCGTCCCTTGTGAAGGGGAGTACACAGAAAGACACTTCCAACTGATCCACCACCTTCTCCTCAAAAAACAGGACATGTAGCTAGGATGCAAGAGTAAAAGTCAACTTTCCTGAACATAAACATTAGATCAATATTAAACCTGCACATTAAGTATCAGTGTTTCAAGGGAATATTTACTGCCAACCTTTTATTGCAAGGTATAAGGTATTTTCCCTGCTTCTTCCCCGTTAATATTTAGTGAAATGTCTTTTATCCTCTAAATTTTTGAATGAAAAAAAAGAAAAGCTGAGGTGGTAATTCTTGAGGTGTCTTATTCATTTATAAGGTATGAGTATAACCAGGGGACTTCAGAAATTACTGTTCCCACAGACTTTGGCAAATACCAGAGTTGCTATTGAAATGTGGGAAATGGCCCTCATCTCTCCCACAGAGGTTCTTTAGCATTTTCAGGATGAGGCTGTAGATGATGCAGCAGTTGTGGGAGGAATGCCCTGGAGCAAAATATTGGTGGAGCCTGATCTGTTTATTTTAAAAAAAAAGCACAATTTCTTTCTGGTAGATGAAACATGAGATTGTGGAAGACATAAACAAGAACCAGTAGCTTTAGACTTAAACCAGATAGGGGTGCATGGAAAGTAACACTAATATTTGTCAATAATGCAAATGGGTAGCTATGGAAAAACACACAAGAAAAAGGAAAACCTCTCATGAGGCTCTTGGTTTCCATCTAGCAAGCACCCAGAAGGCCTGTCTGGGAGATAAACTTCAGTCAAGACGATGGTTTTAAGTGAGTTAAAAGATTATGCTCAGTTGAGGTGAAATGATTGGTAGAAGTTATGGCATGTGATTTGTTTATTTTCCCCCTCCACAGATGACAATTCAAGAAGTCATGACTGAAAATGAAACTGAAGGTGCTCTGAGGCTGACCTATGAACAAAACAAAAACTTCTCCTTTTCCATCAGCAGAAAAAAAGACCAGCAAGGGTAAAAGGGTCATTCTGAGCACTGTAATAAATGTCATTAGGCCACTGATTTCCATGGAATACAGTTAATGTATTCATCACCACATCACTGGTGAAATGGATAACAAAACTTGGGTAAAGTGAGTAGTCACACCACACACTCTGTAAACCTCAGGGAGTTTCTGAAGGGCTGCAGACAGATTCTTCCCCTCACAGCTTGGGACCTGTCTCTGCCTGCCTACACAGAATCCACGTAGCAGACAGTGAAAGAGTCATAAAACTCTAGGCCTGGACCAGACAAGTACTTAAAAGTATAACTTAACTTGACATAAATATTTAAATCTTATTAAATCAATTAAACTTATTAATTGATTTAATAATTAAACTTATTATTGTTTTGGCACAGTTAAAACTTGTAAAATTATGGTGACTTGATTTTCTAAGTTGGTGTCAATATGGCTGTATCTGCACAAAACTCTAGCCTTTAAGGGTGTTTACAGGTGTGATATTTTTAGCCTTGGGGTATTTCAGATATTTCTTAAGTTTCTAGCGCAAGACCTTTGCACTGAAAAGTCTTGTAAGTTCCGTTAAAATCTTCAATAATTGTAAATTCTAAGTTTATAAACCATGACAATGCTTGTGAAGTCAGATTCCAAAATATCTTTCTCATTTTTAAAAAGCTGATGCATTTGGTATGGCAAAATGATTTCTGGTCCAGCTCATTTTGTGTGACTGTATCAAAAACTGGGAGCTGGGTAAGTGTTCAGTGGCAGGTGGTGCCATTTTAACTCTAAAAGCTGTGGCAGACTTGGAGCTAACTCAGATGAACTTGTGCTGCCAGCAAGAGTGGACTTTGTAAAATGTTGTTGAACAAGAGAACATTTCTTCCCTTTAGTGAAGAGTTGAATATAAAAGCACTCCAGACTCATCCCTTCTTTCTACAGTACTTCCCCTGTGCAGCACAACTGTCTTCTAAGGTAACTATCTGCAAGTAATCCATGGCATACATCACTGTAAAGTAGACTTGTCTAATGTGTTAGGAGTCAAGCTGCTTCATTTCTAGTACTAGTATCTCTAACATTTTTTTATTATTGAGGATGTTCCTGTTTTTAAAGATGTTAACAATTCCAGTATTTTTTTTTAATTTAATGGGAACTTGAAAAGGTAAATTATGATATGAGTGAAGCAAAAGGCAAACTCTACCTCAGGATGGAAAAACGGGATTTCAACGTTTCAGCAAAGCTAACTTTGACTGGAAGCAGCTACAGCAATGCCATTGAGGTGGCACAGACCATGGCCCAGGTTGGTACCACCCACTGCTGGCACAGGCAGGCTGTGACAGGAGGGCACTCTGGGGGTGGCTGCCAAGCAGGGAAGGACAAATGCAGCTCCTGCTGTGTGAGGTGTTCTGCCCTTGATTTCTGCAGAACATGAGCAAACATTTGATTGTGGATTAGTTTGAGTTTATATTTGTTTGCTCCTATAGATGGAGCACTCATATAGGTTTTATAGGAAATAAAAATAATGTGCTACAAACTGACCCAGTTTTTGTAATGCAGGGACCTCACATCTCTTTCTCTAAATAAGAAAAGACATCACAAGTACCTATTGTTGTTTGTGCTGTCTGCTGGATTTATTTTGTAACAGTAGGACTCTTGATGGTTTATTCTGTGAGATAAAAGAAAATCAAACTGAATAATAATCAAAGACTGTTGTAAAGGGAATACTCACTTGTTTATGTATGTTCCATTATTTGCAAAGACAACTTTTGTAGAAATGAAGACAAGTAGAAATGAATAGTTGCTCATATGAGAGCAGTGAGCTTAGAGTATCATTGTACTAGACCTTTACAAACACATTCCTACAGACCCCACAGGACTTTGGGGTACCAAAATTACACTCAGGTTTTACCTTCTCAGAGAACTTGGGGTTTAATGTTTGTCCTCTTTTATTTTTAGTTAAAAATTCTTCCAAGACAACTTATGCTTATGACAATTTACCAAAAAGACAACAGAACTCATCTGCTGAGGCACATTGCCCTGTGGGATGGCAAAGAGCTAAAGCTAACAGGCACTTACACTGGACTCTTCCCAAAGCTGCCTGGAGGCCATGGCATTCAGGGTAGGTTTCTCAAGTCTTTTACAAGTGTTCAAAGCAGACTATAAATAAACTCCATAAATCTGATTTCAAAATGCATGTCCAAAGAGTTTCAATCCTGGTTTCACTTTAGGGCTTCTAAGGTCTGATTTGCTTTAAATTCTTTATAGGGTCTGGCTGTTAAAAACATCCACTTCACAATTCTCCTTCTGCTTTATGAATATGGAACATAGAACTTGAGTGCTGGGTGCTGAAGGGAGCACTGGTCACACTGGCTGCTACCTCGAGGTGTCAATCCCTTATGTTGAGACTTTATGATGTGAAAATAGAGAAGCTAACTGCACTTACCTGTTTGAGTGTTGTAAACTGTTCCTCTTCCAGTGTCAGGCCATCTCAGTTTCACACAGATTATTTCCCTGGTTGTTGTTGCTGAAGTTGCTCTGGGTGTAGCTGTCAGTCTTTCGGTTATTGCAGGTAACTGCTGTTCTGCTGGTAAATAGAGAGAGGGTTCTGCTCTCACATCTCCTCGTGTTGAGCAGACACCAGCACACTGAATTCCTTGTGGCTGCTGGGTAGGGGAGTGTGTGTGGGCAGAGACCACGTTTCCCTGGGAGCCAAGGGATGTCCTGCTGCTGTGGGAAATGTCCTGGGAAGGGTCATGATTCCTGGTGGGAAATGTTACTTGTTTGTTTTCCTTGTAGTGGAACTCCTCCATCCTCTCTCCATCCCTTTTCCACGGCATGCCTGGGCCAACTTATATGTGAAACATTCAGCACGCAGTCACCAGGATGTCCTTACTGTCATTTGGAATGAAAAGGACAAGGTACAGTGGCCCAGAGCAAATAAATGTCAGGAGGGTATCAAGACTGTTTCTTGGTTTGTTTTTTTTTTGTTTGTTTGTGGTTTTTTGTTGTTTTTTTGTTTGTTTGTTTGTTTTTCTTTTTAATTAAAAAAGGAACTAAGCAAGCCAGGGAATTTGACTATAAGGCAAACTGTCCCCCTTCCTGGATGTATAAAAAGTTCTGACTGTGAAAGTTGAGTAGCTGATATTCTTGTAGGAAGTATTTTCAGGCCATAGGATTTTTTTGTTTGCAGTAACCCCACACCTTGCTGCTTAACCAAAGGTAATGAAATGCATCAGCTTCAAAGCACTGGGTAAAGGCCTCTGAGGGTAAGTGGGAAGAATAGCACAAATGTCCTGCTTAAAGCAGCTTATGGACAAAGAAATAAAACCTAAGACGTGTGAGCATTAGTTGAGATTGAGAAGGATGAAGAATTCATTGCATGGGTATAACAGTGGGTTTACCCACACAGAAGAGGACACATACCTTGCTTAGCATTTTCAGCTTTATTGATTCAGTCAAAGCTCTTTTGTATTTCATTCTTTCACTCTTCTCCTCATTAGCAAGACTTACAAATGTGGAACAGTTGAAACCAGTCTCTGTTTTCATAAAGTAAGTCATCACTATTTTTTAAAAATATAAAAAAAGTGAAAAAAACTTGGAGAACATAGGGTAGGTTGACTTTCAGATGTGGTTACTTTGGGACATTTTCCTGACTTGCTGCTAACTGTGCTATCTTTATATGTACATCTGAAATGCAGCACTTTGGCTGAGTATTACATTATTTTCTGAATAATGGAAAGATAAAAGACAATGTATAAAGTATGCTACCACACATAAACATAAATGTGCCTGCAAAGAGCACAGATTTTTTTTATTTCTTTAATAAGTGTTAAAGTTCCAAAATTTACTTTAGCAGTTGTACAGAATGTATTTTTACTACTTCTTAAATCACCACAATTATTAAAATCCCACCACTATCTAAATTACCACAAAAATATTTTCCTCTCAATAACTTAGCAGAATTTAGTTCCTGTTGAAGCAAATGCTTTTTCTTGTGTTTTAAGTTTGCAAGTTATGTCCAATGATTCAGTGCAGCCTGCAGTGCCTAAAGATGAGATCAAAATTAAACTTCAACAAACTTAAGCATTGTTCATTATTTTAGTAAAATACAGAGAGTAGTTCTGCTTTGAATTCAAGCAGCAAAAATTGTTCTAATTTTACCATTAATTTACCTCACTTCTTCAGAAAGGACTTTACTGTGCTTGTAATTCATCTGAGGACAAGGTAGAGGGAAATCTTAACTGGGTGCATGTTTGAGGTCAGTATGTGAGAGGTGTTTTATTTCACAAGTTCCTTTCCCTCTGTTGACGTGGCTCAGATATCAGTGACGTCTTCTCTGAGGATTGGAAGGCACCGGACAAGCTACAGAGCCACTGCTGCCCACCCATTCAATTACACTCTGAAGGAGCTGGAGGTGCATTCCCTGTCAGAAAGAAGGGGCAGAAAGTACAACCAGCAGGTGAGATCATGAGGCTGGGCTGCAAAACACACAGCTGTGATGCTGCATTGACTGTGAGTGTGCCTTTCATCCCTGAGAACTGCAGAGCCATGAATCATCCTGAACAATGTAGGCAGCACTGAGTTCTGTTATCTCCTTGTGTCCAAACCAGCAGCACTGTTTCCTAGCCAATAGTTTTGCACCTTTAGTATTGACCCATTTTGGATGGGAGGAACCCAGAAGTGGCCAGGAACCTGCCAAGCAATGAAAATGAGACAATTTTTGTCCATAAAGCAGTGAACAAACTTCTAGTCTGCACATACAAGAAAAGCAAAACAAAAAACCCCACAACCTTACAATAAAACCAAACCAGAAGCCCTTTGATACCCCTGTGAAAAAAATGTTTGCCTCCACTGCATGGGGATCATTCTGCTGGTTCTGGTCTTGCTGCTGGACAAATCCTTCTCTGCTTTCAGCTGCAGGTCTCAGGGAATGCTGGGCAGCCTGCTCACCTCCAGCTGGGGCTGGAGGATAAATCCAAGATGGACATCACTGCCTGGGGTGGCTGTGTGACACTCTCTGCAGGCCAGGTATGAGCCTTACATCCCTTGGAAGGGATGAGTGTAGCTGAATTTCTGTGTTCGATCCTCACAGAATGATTTTTTTTTTCTGTACTTGTTACCATATGAAAGCCTTGAAGTCAACCATTTTGTGTCTCAGAGGAAGAAAAATAAATGCTGTGGCAAATTCTGTTTCATGATGCCAGACATGGTTGTACTTGGGCTGCAGCCTCCCCTCAGGCCAGAGCTGTCAGTCCCTTAGGTTGGCTGGCAGAGCCTGAAGCAGGATTTCAGGGTACAGACCAGCCAGGGTTCTCACAGGGTGTGCTTTTGTCCAGGAAACCCACTGCCTGAGGGTATACTGAACACTTTTAAAAAAATTACTTATATGTGTTAATTTTTTCCACTTTTCCAGCTTCAGAGAATATTAAGCATGGAACACCTGCATGCATGTGGGTCTCTAGAGCAAAGACCAACATTGTTTAGTGAATACCTAGATCTGAACTGGGATGACAAAAAATTCAAACACAATTTCACATATGAGGTAAGAGAAGGCAGTTGACTCACCATTTTTATGGATGCTGTTCTCAGTGAATTATTTTGGTTTTAAATGTAATGTTGAGTGGATTTTAAGAAAACTTCTATAGAGCACTGTTTTTTTGTGAAATATTATTTCACTTTCCCTCTTACATTTTTCTCTACACAGGAAGAAAGCTAAATGGGGCATAGTTAAGAAAGAAAGGGTTCTTCCAAACTAGAGGCTTCATCTATGCCCTAAATTTGCAAAACTTGTAGGATGGGGACTGGTAACAAGGCTGATAAACTAAAACATTGTCAAATGGAAATCTTATGTTCTGAAAATGTTACATTAAAATCCTGAAAAACAAAAAAAAGCCAAATAACAAAATTTTAATAACAAAAGCCAGCCCAGGGATGGGATGAGTGGGCTCCAAGGAGTGTCTAAGATCTTGCTGTCATCTTTCATTGCAGAGAAATCAACTCTTGTATCCTGATAAGTTTCAGTTAGAAGCTGTTCTGGAAAATATTTTCCTGACTCCATGTGCCAAACAGAAGATTCAGGGTAAAATAGAAACAAACTACACCTCTTGCCTGAATTACTATTCAAGCTTTGAGTTCTGTGACCTTCCAAATGTAAGTCTCACACTGAACCTATTTCAGTTTAAATGTTATTACTCATTTGGAGACTTAGTTTTCCTCAGCTGCAACTCTTCAGAAGACTTACCATACTTCTGTAGCTTAAATAAATAAACAGTGTCATTTGATGGACTGAGGCAGAAAGGTTCTGTTTGCTACTACAGTGTATTCTATAGGTTCTTTTATGGTTGAAAACTCTCACTTCCTCCATGTTCTTTCTTTCTTGTTCCTCTTTCAGAGGTATCTTAATTTTATGTTTCTGGAGAATACCAAAACAGGCTCATAAGTGATCAAAAAGGAGACTAGAGAGGAGTAAAAGTGCTTTCCTTCCCCTGTGGGTAAACGTCTGCTGGTTTTTATGATTGCTCTGCTGGTAGTGATGGGTTTTTGAACCATAATGTAACCTTATTTTTCTATTACACACATAAACTGAAGGCCACCCATCATCTTCCTTAGGTGCATGCTGGTCCTCAGAGTTGCTTGTAGACACTCACACAGAACTTGGAACCTGCAATAAATATCTCACTCAGTTCCCAGTGGCTGAAACACATCTTGCCTTCCTTATTTAGTGTTAGAGCAGCTCATGCTCTGTTGGCAACAGGAAAACTTTTTCCCAGACCAAGGTGTGATAGAACCTGTTCACAATGCCAAGGTGTAAATGCCTGTCACTCCAAAAGCAGGTACCTCTGTACTTTTGGATCATTCTCTTCAAAGGTATCATGGTTTAAGCCTAGCTGGAAATTAAGCACCACAGCCACTCATTCAACCCCCTCTATCCCTACCCTCTCCCTGTGGAATGGGGAGGACAATCAAAAGTAAAACTTGTATTTTTAGATAAGAACAGTTTAATAATTGAAAACAAAGTAAAATAATAATAGTTACTACTAGTAGTGAAAAGGAAAAAAACTAAATGAAGTGATGCACAAAACAATTGCTCATTGCCCTCTGCCCAATGTCAGACCCCCCTTGCCAAACTCAGGTTTGCCTGTTCCAGGTAACTCCCCCCAGTTTATGTACTGGACATGATATTCTGTGGGCTGGAAAATCCCTTTGTCATGTTGGGACATCTGTCCCAGGTGGGCTTTTGTGCATCTCTTCACTGGCACAGCAGGAGAGACACACACACAGAATTCCTTGACTAAGGATAAACAACTGAGCAAAACCAAAACATCAGTGTGTAACCAACCCCATTCCCATTCCAAATCCCAAACTGTACCAGCTGTTGAGAAGAAATTAACTCTATCCCAGTAGAAACAGGACAGTATTCACCTCACTTCCCATGTATCCCCAGCTTTATCAAAATGTCTGGCTAGAGTAGCTGAGAAGTGTAGGAGCAAAAAAACATTGGACCTTTTAACAAAATACAGTTCTCTGCAGCTGTTCCTCTGGTCTTGGGGTGCAGTCACTGAAATGCTTTGTTAGAGCACAGAAACTGAGGGTGTAATGAAGACAGTGCTGTGAGGAGCAGGGAGATGTGCTGATTTTTGAAACTACAAGTTCTGTTTGTGGTGTAATTTAATGAGAATGCTGCCACTGTACAACTTCTTGCTACTCAAAGCAGAGCCCATTTGTTTGAAAGAATTTGGAAGCTTTAACACCTTTTTTGTGCATACATAGGCAATTGTTTTATCTGGAAAGCACCAGCTCAACAAAGATGACACCATTTTGCACTCAGAGGGCAGATTCCACCTTGCTGATGGTGGGAGAGATGAGGGGCTGATTGGAATATCCATAAAGAATCAGAGCACTGCTGATGTGAAGAACTATTCTCTGGAAATTGAAGTGAGTTTCTATTTTATTTTACTGCCACTGGGGTTTGGTTTTCAAAGGCCTGCTGCCATCTATTTCCCAAAGAGATCAGGTGCAGGCAGTGACTGTAAAACAGCAAGCAACAAAACACTCCTGGTTTCTGTAGTGCTCTCTAAAGGAGCCGTCAGGCAGCGTCCATGCCTGTGACCGACAGACAAAGGAAGGCACCAATAGGAGTTCTCTGTAGAGCTGTCACAAATAAAGCAGATGTGTTTCTAGTGGAGTGTTTCCTTCTTCATTTTTCTCTCCCCTCCGCCCCTGTTTTGCATTTGCTTTTAATTTCCTGTGAAATTTAAATGGTGGAGACACCGATGGAGACAACAGAGCGAGGCACAAAACTAACGGGGTTGGCACCATCCAAACTCTTCATTAGCAGGAATGTAGGTAGTCAGGCACTAACTGAGACAATAGATCATCCCTTAACAAAATTATGATGATGATTTAATCATCAGTAACAAATACTAAATTATTTTTCCATTCCTCTCTCTTTACAGAGGAGGGAGATGAAATGAGTATCAGCTGCTCTGCATGAGCTTGCTTCGTTCTGTGTTTGGAATAAATGGCACAAATCAGCAGCTTCACAGAGAACTGACTGGGACATTGTTTCTTTCATTGCTTCCACTAAAATTTTGTCCACAAGTCTTGTGCTATCCAATCATTCAGCTCCTGGGCCAATCACTCAGATGCTTGTGCCTCTCAGTGAAACTCCTGCATAGTGCACAAGCATTGGGAAACATTTCCCTCACCACTTATCCTTTTGTGGGAAGCACTGATAATTGAGCACCATCTCTAAATGATCATTAATTCTGTGTGGTGGCTTTGAATAAATGTTTTTCCTTTATTGCTGCAGTTAAGAGCCTTTGAAGATATTTGGCTAGGCCTGACAGGAACTGCTGCTTCCTCATCTGTCCAGAGCCAAATCCTGGTGGAGGGGATTATTGATCAGAAAGAGAAAGTAAAAGTAGCTGCTTCAAAAGGAAAGGAGTGTTTCCAGTACTACATGGGGTATCTGCAAGGTATGTATGTATCTCACTGACCGTGCTCTCAGCCACAGGACTTTGGCTTAGGTCATCCTGCAAACACAAACACCATGGAGCTGGACTTGGTGATCCTGCTGGGGCCTTTCCATCTGGAGCTATTCTGAAACTCCCAGTGCATTGCTCTGAAGAGACAGGAAGAAAGTCGTGTCTCTACTCATTTCATTCAAGCTATGATCTTTCAGATAAAGAAAAGCTGAAGTTTAAAATTTGTTACAAAGTTCAGTTTGGGGCACATTTTTGTATTATTACAACAGATGGTAACAAAAGACAGGATTAATTTCCTCTTGATTTAACCATCTAAAAGTTTTGTGCCTTGTTTAAAATAATAATTCCAAATTCAATAAAGGAAATAAGAGAGGCACCTCCAGAGACTCACTGTACCACATGTTGGAGCAGCTGTGAGAGCTGGGATGTGTGCAATCCCTGCCTGCAGTGGACTGTCTCACAGCAGTCAGCTCTGACTAACAGAGAGGAAAAAAAGGCTGTTGTTTCAAGTTATGCCTAAATTCTAGATTAGTAAAATGAGGTGAAATGAGCTGCAAGAGGTGGGGCTCATCCACATTTCAGCTGCAGTTAGAGTTGGGTGCAAACCAAATAGGTTTGGTGGTGTCCCAGTTGTCTCCCAGCCCTTGTTTCACTTATGGATTTGCTATTCCACCCTTCTGCAGGGAAGTTTCTCTCAGGTTCATGTCCTCACCTCTAAGTGCTATGATGTTTTTGAGATTAGGACCATTAGTTTGTGAATCACTGAAGTGAGAAGTTTGTAGAAATGACTCAACTCAGCTCTCTCAACCCATATTCTACGTGTATCCTGCCAACCACTTGTTTATGCTCATCAGTGCTTCTGTAGAAAAGACGTGTGTGTGGTGGGTGGAACTGACAGGCTTCCATTTAAGGGCTGAGCAGTTTTGAAACATCTGCAACAAAGGACACTAAAGTGAGGACTAAAGTAGAAAAAAAGGCCTTGTAAATCGGTATGACCGAGAGATTTAGATTTACATTAATCCAGAGCTTCCTTTGCAGTAGCAAATCTGTCTGTGTAATTCATTAACAAGCCACACAGAAGAGATCGAATCCTGATACTGATCTAATTGTCTCTTGTTAATCTCTTCTGTTTTGTTTTTCCCTCCACACCTAACACACTCAAGCTCTGATTGATCACCTAAGTAATTAAAAACTGGCTTTGAAACAATGTCTGTCAATGTTGTTCCTGTAAATGAAGGCTCTTTTTTCATTCCTTAAGGGGATTTGGAAGAAGGAGTGGAAGTCAGTGCTTGTTCTGATGGGAAACACAGGGCTGCCATTAACACCTATCTCATCATCAACGGTAAAAGGCAGGAAAACCTGGGACAAGTAACTCTAGCAGCTGCTAATGGAAGCTTGAGTTTTCTGGCCCATGGATGTGGGGATCCAGTTCTTAAGGCTGAGGTGAGACCCTTGAGTGGCTGTTAACTGCAGCGTGATTTCCCCAGAATTTTATTTATTTTGATGGAGCACCTTCCATGCAGGCGAGTTGGTGAGTAACCAGGCAAAATGATGCAAAGTTTTAATTATTTTCACGTTGATGTGAGAAGTTACCACGGTGAGAACTAAGAAATTCAGCCATGCCTAGAGATAGAAAATACGGGACCTTCTTCTAAGGGGTGGATCCTCTGAGGAGGGTGAGTAAAGTGAGAGCAGCAGTAACTGTGCAGCCTGATGGTTACAAAACTAATGATCAGAATCCTGAACGTACTTTCACATTAATTAGGGCAGAGTTTCACATACTCTCTACTTGGGGAAGGCTTTTTGCTTTTTACCGTTTGTCTTTTCTGTTCCCTTGTCTGCATTGAATAATGCAGAAGTAGTTTCCCCTAAGAAATGCGAGGCCACTGTGGGTGTTTGCCGGCCTTTAAACTGGTACAAACTGTGAATGATTTGGATCCAGCACAAGCAATTTTAAGTAATGAATTCAAGGTTTTAACAATCTTCTCACAGAACAAGCTTAATGAAATTGGGAGCCTTTTGAAAACCACACTGAGTGAGAAGATAAAGAAGTTTGATGGACACCTGTGGAGATTCAGGAGATCAGTAAGTGTCTGTACATGATCTGTGAAAACACCATGAAGTGTTCACGCAGCGTTAGTTAAACATCATTATATTGCCTGCAGCTGTTTTGTTTTGCTCAAACATTTCGGTGATTACTCCTGTGCTGACCTGTACACAGAGACAAAAAGCGTTTAATGTATGGTGTATCTCTGCACCAACCCTGCAGAGTCAGAACTGCCTCGCAGTGACGCCAAAGCTTTGCTTGAGATCACTGTGTGTTTTTAAATCGCTTTTTTGGAACCACTGTAGGTGCAGCATGTTGGTTTCCTGTCTGAAGCAGCTGGCTGGCCTTCAATGGCCTTGCAAAGGGCAGCAGGATTCCTGCACAGCGGGGCCACGGCTGTCGCCCAGGTGTGGAAGCAAAGTGGAATTGGGCACGTTCTGAGAAGCAGGATCCCACTTTACCTGGAGAAAATTCAAGATGTTGTCCAGCAAATGCAGAACGAATTACAAAGTAAGCAAAACGGAGCAAAGCAAGAAGAGGGACAATGTCAGTGCAGGTCAAACCAAACTTCAGTGTAAACTACAAAACATACTGAATAACACAAAAGTTTCTATTTTGATCTAGGAAGAAGTGCTGAGCTTGGCTCTTAGTGTACAGAGTGAGAGCCTTGATGCAATAAGCTCTAAGAAGGCTCTCTGTGAGCACCTCACTAATGAAATCAGTGGTGAGGCTCTTTCTTGGTCACAGGAGGCTGGGTTCAATTGGATGAGAAGAGAGTCCTTAATTCCTAAGCTGAAGTATTTCTGCTAACAGTTCCCTGGCAAGCCTTTCCTCCCAAAGGGCTGTTCATATCCCTCCTTGAGTTTTTAATGCTTGTACTAATTGGATTTCACTTGATCTGTTTCTTTCCAAGCCTATCCAGTAGCCACTAATTCACTGTTCAGCTGGACTGTGGCCCATACTGAAACCTTTGAGAAATGTGGTCAGCTGGAATTAGCTGTGAGAACCTTCAGTTCTCACAAGGGTAAAACCTCACTTAGCTCGAGGCTATTCCCTCTCAAAAGTTATGTTTGGTTGATATACCATAACTGAAATCAGTTGTGACCAAACTGTCCCGTTGCTCAGCAGCAGTGTGTTTATAAGGGGTCAGGGTCAGAGCTAAATGGCTCTTTCAGTTCACAGCAGTGCAATGTCCTCACTGCCATGGAAACACCGCTGCCTCCTGTACTGTTCTGTGCTCCCCCTTCACTTCTGCTGCAAGCTGGGTGGGAACAAACAAGCAAACTGCCATTTGTACCAAACCAGCTAAGGTTGTCTCATTAATGTGCTTGCTTCAGAGCCATTAGCAACTTTGAAAGATGCCTACTACGATGTAACCTTGAAGCCACTGGATGAAGTCTGGAAAGAGAAGACAGAAGAGCACATGAAGAAAATCCTGGCTTTCTTACCCAAGATTGTAAAAGATGTGTGGCTAATGAAACCAATTCAGATGGCATTAAAGGTTGTGAAAGCAGGCTTGGATATGGTTAGTATAACTCTGTTCTCCATTTCCAGTTCAAGGCCTACAAATTAAATCAGCTTTGAACTATGGATGCACATACACATTTTTGTTTATGGAATTAGTGCAGTTGTCTTTCCACATAATAGCTTGTGCACAGCTGATTTACTGTTCTTGCAGTATTTGTCCTGCTTTGAAAGAGTACTTTTCCACCTAAAGGAGATGGAAAAGTCTTCAACTAAGTCTGGTTGAAATCACAGCAGCAGTATCCTGTCATTGATGTAGCTTTTACTTTTCTTGCATAGAGAGGAGAAATTGTGATTCCAATAAACAAGTGTACAAATATATCTAGGCTCTTCTAGTTGAAATGAAAAGCATAAAAGAGACATCATGAGGCTAATTTATATTATTAAAGATACCAGTCCTTTCTAAACTACTGAAGCACATTAACTTAGTGAATCATTGCTACACTTTAAGTCATGTTATTTAGGAGGAATATATTTCTGTCCATTGGTGTTGTGACTAGAGTCTGTCCTCTGGGTATTATTAACCTCTACATGACAAGGTGCTGTCAGACAGGAGGTAAATGCAAGAGACACTGAAGTAGTATTTTGCATTTCTTGATTTAAAACTCATTTGCAAGTACTGACCCTGCCCTGAAGTCACACTGAAATTGCTTTTATAATCTGTGACTCCAACAGGCTACCCAGCAGGTGCTCAGGTGGGCAGAGGCCACGTTTTCCAGAGCTGTGAGCAAGATCCGGAAGCCCTTGCTGCACCTGTACAGATTTTCACCCAGGTAACTGGTGGCTTTGCAGGATCCCTGCTCTGGGCAGTGCTCTAAAAGGATGTGTGCACAGTTACTCCTCAGGTCAGTGTGCAGCTGAAGGTTCTGGACAGCCACCCAACCACTCTTTGCTTTGGTCACATCACATCCTAATGTTTATTGCTGTGGGCTGCCAGACCCACTGAGTTCGAAAGGAGCTGCTGGGCAGCAAGCAGGGTATCAGTAACTGATAAGGGGCCTGAGGTGACAGGGGAAGTGCAGCTCCTGGCCAGAGGAGGGTTGTTTTTGTTGCTCTAAGCAGACTACAGTTCTTATGAATATTTCACTTCAACATTTCTAATAATAAAACAAGAGCATTTCATCAGTTCAGCAGGTAAGGGGTGCTCCCTTTGTATTCTACAGGAACTGTTCAGTGGCAGGAAAGCTGCCAGTACTACCTAAAGCAGACCTGTCCCTGCAGCTGGCAAATGTTACCACTTACCTCATTGGAGAAAAACTGATGAGGCCTCTGCAAGACCTCTACACTCTCAACATCCTTGCAGAGTACTATAGAATCAAAAGGAGGATGATGGAGAGCCCCTTTGAATGTAAGCCCTTTCAAAGTGCTGCTTTCTTTTGTACCTGGGTCTATTTCCACTGTATTGTACTGTATTCTAAAATTTGTATCTGGGATCAGAGTTTACTTAGAGATGGTCACTAATTAATAATTTTCTTATCAACTTACATATAGTCTTTCTTGTAAGATAGTGATGATATGTAGAACATCAACCCTCTGGGCAAAGCTGGCAGGCAGTAACACTGCTCTACTTAATATTCATGCAAATTTTGTAACTCTACACCTCCTACTCTGGAGACTAGAAACAGCAGGTGGTATTTATCTGCCTTATCCATATGTTCTTGTGCGCTGATGCTGTGGTGCACTGCCACTCTCACCTGCTGGCTCTGTGTCCTTGGCACAAAGGCTTGGAAACTTCAGCTCTGCTGCCTCTAGGATGAGCAAGCTCAGCCCTACCAAAGCTTCACCCACAGTACTGCCTGTAAAAGTATTGCTGCATGCTACAGGAATGCACTAACAGTCCCAGCTGTCCCTTAGAGAGAATGGCTTTTCCAGAAATCCCTTTTTAATGGTTTCCTCCCAGTACAGAGCAACCCAACAAAGGGCTGTGAAAGCAGCTCCTAGTGACCCAATAATCTTGAGTCATCTATCAGCAGGGTTTCCTGGATTGCAGATGTTTGATGCACTGATTTAGAAGAGTCATTTTTAGAGACAATTTTTGAGAATTAATATTCTTGTGTTTTCTGCATAAGAGTGTATAATGTGTATTTATAAATATGACTGTCAAGTACTACAATGGCAAATCAAGATGAGCTCTGAACCCTAGTTCAAGTTTATCAGTTTTACGGCACTCAGGTAAATCTACAACGAAAAATTAATCATTAAATTGTTTTGTTTCTGAGAAAAGTTTTTTTTGCAGAGCAACTACATTGTAATTAATTAAAATTTAAGTGTAGTAATGTCACTGTAATAATAAGTTGAGAAATTATTTTTAAGAGTATGACAGCAAGAAGCTGTGTGTTGCATTATGTGCAGCATTTACTGCTCTGTGGAAAACTCACTGATGTTTCTTCTGAAATACCATTCTCCAGATCATGCTATGATAGTTGGGAGCAAGCATCTTGTGACTTTTGATGGAAAAATGTATGATTTGGCATCAAAGTGCAGTGTTCTTCTTGCCAAGGATTTTGTTCACAGTGCTTTCACTATAATACTAAATGAGGAAACTAGGAACTCCAGATCACTGTATGTGGAGATGAATCAGACTGTGATCACCATCTACCCACGACTAAAGGTAGGAAGATCAAGTCAAACATTTTTTATTTTTGGCAAAAATTTTCTTCAGCTGACAAAAAAAGTTCTTGAAATATTAATGCTCAAAATATAGATCAGAAGCACTCTCAGCCAATGGCTTTAGTGTAACAGCTTCTTAAAAAGAAAATACCTCTCCAAAGCAAAACCAGTTTACCTCAAGGGCTGCCTCTATGCTCTCTGTATATGACAGAAACTTTTCAACTTCCCTCTGACATGGTCTAAGAGAACGGCACTGAGAGGGAGACTTTGTGCTTTTTGCTCTTTCAGGAGTTTAACACAGCCCTGTTCTTATTCCCTTCATTCTGGGCTAAGTTGTCTCATTGCACCTGCAAATTCACTGTGCTTGCCTGTGACTGAACTTTCCCTATGACAGGTGTGAAACTGCATTTTCATTTTTGAACAGACATCCAAGATGTATAACTTCTCCCTTATGGAAGAGAACTGCCAAGTGCTGGATCCATCCCTTGAAAACAGTACCATGAATTCAAGGCAAGGAATCAACAAAATAGAAGTATCTGATCAGAAAGGAGTTTCTGTCTCTTGTGACTTTCAGTATGATCTCTGTACTGTCACTCTGGCTGGGTGGCACCATGGTGAGCATCAGTGATGCAGCTGTTGTCAGCTGTTAGTCATTTTGCTATCTCTCTGAATTATCTGTATTACTGGTAGTACCAGCATCTGTGCTTTCACTTTTTTTTTCCCTCTCTTCACTTACACCCTAGAAATGGCCCCAGGCATTCCCAGTAATTGCCAAATAGAGCATGGAATGCACCATTCCAGGGAGAAGAGCAAGTTGTGGGTTACTGCTGATTCAGTGCTATAAAGCAGACAGAAATCAGAGGCACTGCAGTCAGCCCAGCCCCAAAACCTGGCTGAAATCTGCTCTAGAGCAGCTCTAGACCTGCAAGACAACTACAGAGGGGGGCCCAAAACCTCACAGAGTTTTTTGTATACTTGGAATGCATTCCTGTAGCATCCATGTACCCTACATTATTGTAAAAGTCACCCTCCAAAGATTAGCAGAGCATGGATGTGATGCTGTGCTGTGCTCAGGAGCCCAGGAGCAGCTGAGACACAAGATGGCAATGCAGGCTGGGCAGCTCCTCCACAATAGAGCTGAACCTGCTGGCAGAATAATCAGAGCCCAGAGACAGCTGCTGTAATAGTCCTGCACCTACTCCTGACCATTCCTATTTTACTCCATTTCAATTTTCTCCCAGGTGTTTCAGCTGGGCTTTTTGGTACCAATGATAATGAAGCTGGAAATGAATGGATGGTGCCTAATGGTTCCTTCACTGACAACGTGAAAGAGTTCACCCAGAGCTGGCAGGTGAGGAGTGCAGGGCTGCTGCCAGAGGGCACTGTCTGACACGCTGGGCTGCCTTAGATGAACCAAAGCTCAATAGTGAGAACAGCAGCACACTGCATTGTTCTGCTGTGTCTAGCCAGGGAAAAGGTTGCACATATTTGCTAAAAACTGTTCAAGAAATCCCTGCAAATAGGCATTGAATATTTTTGGCCTAGGTAGTAAGGTAAAACATAGAGTGGCTGTTGCTGATTTTAGAAGAAACTGATATTGGAGCTCAGTATCTTTGATGTTTTCCTCCTTACAGCACCTTCTCCTGGAATGCAAGGACAGGTGCTACTAGGTCTGGGCTAAATCTGTACATTCACCACTGAAGTTTTCTTTAGAGCTGTTAGTTCTAGCTGAGTATGTTGAGCCTCTTAATTTTCTTTGTTCTCATGCTTTACATCTCATCAATAAACAAAACTTTAGAAACAAATCTGTAAGTATCTGAAAGCAAATTTGTTCTCCATCCCGACACCACTAAGTATTCAGACCTTTTTGGAAGGTTAGCTGCTGCTGTCAGTTACTGACTTGCATAAAAAGACTCCTATAACTACCATAAATAAATGTTGTAACAATTTTATACCAGCACCATTATAGCTCTGCTTAGTTCATGTATTCTGTCATCAGCTGCAAATCATCCAAATACACAAATGTGCAGTTGTACAGAACCATTTGTGAGTGCAACCTACCAAGTAAAGTAGCCTTAACATGCTCTCAAGTCATGTTGACAGGATGCTCTAGACCCCTTCCAAATCTAATTTTAAGAATCTATTACCAAAAGAAAAGGAACCAGCATCTTACTACCACAAAGATTTTGTGACTCTTCCATTTATCCTGTCTCACAGATGTCCCAGTTCTGGAGCAGAAATCTCATTTTCAGTCAGTACCTTACTGTAAAAGAGAGAATTGCTTCAAGTATCTTGCTGTGGCAGAGATAAAGTTAATGAGCTTGCAGCCTATGTTTATGATAATGGGGCAGGATCCCAATGTGACTGACCATAGGCACAATTTTTTTTATTGCTATAAATATTAACTTCTAATATACTCATAAAAATACAGAACTCCCCAGAGACACTGAACAAAGAATCAATTAAAAGCAATAAATAAGGAACTTAGGGTGATCCAGAAGCAGGGCAGTCCCGAGTGCCAGAGGGGCAGAATGGCTGCACTTGCACCATTGCTGGGAAGGGCTCACGGTGCCCTGTGAACTCTGAGTGCAGCTCGTTCCCAGGAGCTTTATCACAGCCTCTGTCATGCACCGACCCTGCACAGGACGTCAGCACAGCTCCACCAGCACAGGGCCAAGGCTGCACAACAGGAAGTGACTGAGTGACTCCTGCAGGATGAGGGTTGGCACAGAGTAAACTGCCAGTTCACTTTCCTTAGCAAGTAAAGTAACTACAGTTTACACTTGCTTAAAGAACTTCTTGGTGGTGTGGTTTTACTGTTCTTTTTTTTTAAAGCCACCTTTACCTATGAGTAATCCAGCAAGGGTATGAAGCTTTTCTTTTCTCCATGAGAAAGATCTAGTGAAAGCACAACTTTGACCTGTCAGACCTATACAAAAGAGAACTAGCCAACTGCCTGCTGTGTCAGCAATTACACACCAAACTCCTTCAGTGAATAACAGAATCAATAGCAAAAGGAAACAAGACCTAATCTGTGAGGTGCCTCTCAATATTAATGAACAATAAACATTAGAGCAGGGTACTGAGCTGCCCATACTGCCCTTCAAACCAGCTCACACTGGAAATCTGAAGAACTCATCCTACCCTGATGTGCAAAAAAACCCCTAAATACACCAACTTCAGTAATTCTGTTTTCCCAGGTAAATAAGTGCAGTCTTGTAGAGAAGAAAGAGAAGCCATGCCCAATTACAGCTAAGCAAAACATCTGCAAAGCGTTCTTTGAAGAACCACATTCACTTCTTAGGAACTGCTTCAAAGTTGTAAGTAGAACTTCAGCCAGAAGCAATGTCTCAATTATGTGTCATACTTCCAAGGAGGTCACATAACCATTGCAAGGATATAGAAGTTTAGTTGCAGAGAACTTTAGAAGCAATCGAAACAGCAATCCAGACAGAAAAGGTGTTTTTATCATTATAAATATAAGTGGAGTTTTTTGACATCCACAGAGTAGTGGTGTGACTGCATTGCTCTTTGGGATACAGGTCTAGAATTTGGAAAGAGAAATAACCTCCTCACCATTAGGAAGGAAATAAAGGTTTATGAATGGTCCTAACCAGGCAGGGGGAGGGGACACAACCCAAACCTCTGGGTTTTCCTGCAGGTCCCCCCTAACCCCTCCCTTTGTGCCCAGGTGGAGCCCAAGCCATTCTACACCATGTGCACACAGGACACCTGTGACTCCCCGGCCCTGGGGGCTGCCTGCAGCTTGGCAGCAGCTTTTGTTCATTTGTGCAACCGGAATTTTGTCCCTGTGGAAATCCCTCCCCAGTGGTAAGTTTCATTTCTTTCATCACCCTGAATATTCTGCATTGCTCCAGTACTTACATGTCTCTGATGCAAGAACACACGAGAAAATAAAACTAATGAATCTGACTGTGGCCATGAGCAAAACTGATCCTATTCCCTATTGCCTCCTGGCTACCTCCCCTTCCTGCTGCTCGCTCACGAGCACACCAGAGCCCACCCACTGCCCACCCTCTACTGCCTTTCTAATGTTGTCCCCATGTGCTGTGTGACAGAGGCAGAAGTACCTGCAGAATACTGTGTGATGTCCCCAGCAGCTCCTCCTCTTGGATACTGTTTCTGCTTCCTTCTTTTTTTGGTCTCAAATAGTGCATTTGGATTCATTTTAACAACAATACAAAATACTCAGGGACTTATGTTTGTACTTTTCAGTATCTAATAATGAAATTTATCTATCTTTTCAACCTAGAATATCCAGATTATCAATACTTGTGTTTTAATGCAGCTGTCATCCAGACTGCATTGTTAAGTGGATTCCTGGAATATAGCCAAGGAAGATGAAAAGCCTGAATAGAGCACTAGCACTTGCTTGAAATTTTTATAATTACAATCCTTTCCCATTTCTGTAGTTATAGTGCCAATTTGTGTATTCCAAAAGTGACTGGAGCCATGTGTGTTGATAACTGGAGTTCCATTATTGATACTCTTGCCCAAGTAGTAACTCACTGAATTTTTACAAGACTGCAATGGAAACATTTACACCAAATAAATGGCAGAATCATTCAGAAGAGCTAATTATGCTTTTGCTTGAAATGAAGCACTTGGGTTTACTCATTTTATGCTCCATGCTTTGCTAAGGTTTAGTAATGAGAAGAGGGTGGAGTTTATTAATATATGTATTGAAGCATTATTTATTTGCATTTGTAAACTCACTACTATCTCAAAGGATTGATTTGGTGACTATAAACCCATTTGTAGTATGCCTTGAAAAATTTACAATTATTACTTGATTTCTTACCCATTAAGGAAGGGAGTAGTATTTGCAGGTGGGTTTGTTTGCCATAAAATAAAAACCTAGAATAAGAACACTCACTGTGTCTGTAAGAGCATCACATCACACTCCCACACACTGAAACAACATTGCCTGCCAGTATCTGCCTGAGCTGTTCAGGTCACTCAGCCCCTCAGCAGGGGATGATCAGGGCATCTCTGGGCAGCAGCTTGTAGGCAGCAAGTGGTTTTAGCTCCAGCAGTCACAAAAACTCTTCAACATATAAATATGAAATACTGAGACAAATTTTGTTAAATCTGAGTTGAGAGAATATTCAGTTGAAAATACAGTTTTAGAATAGCTTGGTAGCTGAATGATTGCAGTCAGCTAGTGCTGCTAGTTTGCATTATCCCATTTCTGAGGAAAAGGATTGGAATGAAGGTGGACCACAAGCTCAGTTAACGAGAACATGCTAATAAAGAAGCAAAATACATTGGGGATGTACACATGAATCAACACATTGAAAACAAGAAATACTTTTTATCTATTTATCTTATTTCATATATCCACTTTTGGACACCCTGTTTTACTTAAATTGTGAACCAGTTGAGAACAGTCCTGGGGAAAAAATGGAAGGCTTGAGGAAAGACATGAGTTAAGTCTTCAAACATGCAAACACTCTAAAGAGAAGGAAGCTGAACAGACCAAACTAAGGGAGAATTAGGTTTGACACACGAAAGAGTCTGCAATGGTTGGGTTACTCACACACAGTATCTGATAACCAACAACAGTCATGACAGCAAAACAGAAAGTGGCTGTCAGCAGAAACAACCTCTGCACTACTTCCTAGAAATTCATGCTTGTCAAGGATCTTCCACTGAAATAGCTGAACTACTCAGACCTCATAAACTTTAGAAATAATGCTGCCCTTTTTCTCCTAAATGTGAATTTATCAAACATGAGAGAACCTTACATCTTTATTTCGGATTAGCGATCTAAGATAAAACCGCATCTAAAATGCTGGAGTACTTTCCCCACAGTGTTTTGATGTCATAAATATATCTGATGCTATTTTCCCTTCAGAGATTTTTTTTTTTTTTGTATTTCACTGTAATGAGAACTTGCATTACATGTGATTGTACTTACTTATCACTTACCTGGAGTTCATCTCTTCATTTCAGCTCGAGCCAGCTCTGAATGGCAGACAGCAGCCCTGAAGATGGAAGAACCCTTTCAGCACCCAAGCCAGAACAGTTATTTTAGGCAGACAAGCTAGAGGCAAGAACAGGGAGAGAACAGTAGAAGAGAGAAGCATTCGTGTTAACTGTGAATATAGTGAAGTATATAAGGCAGAAAAGGAAAGATTTCCACCCAGAACCCCTGAGGGCAAGAGAAATGATTTCAGTATATTGACAAGAAACTATAATCAACCAGAAGAAATCTGACAAGAAAGCATCAGTTACTCTAAAAAAAATTCTCCCATTCGGTGGCAAAATTGCCTCTCCACAAGCCTTGAACCATAGCACAAATACACTGAAAAGCTGAGAAAAGCTCTCTTCCAGCTCAGATTAGTACAAGTGGACTACTTTGTAAAAGCAGCATCAACAGCCTAAAGTCAGCAGAGATTGCTGACTTCTTTTTCTCCAGAAATGAAACTCCACTGTTCAGCAGTTCTGGAGAAAGTTATCTATCTTTTCCAGGGAAGTGCTCCAACACACAAGAAGGCTAAGATAGAAATAAGATGGGTAAATAATGGAAAGCAGTTAACAATTTTCTTATTTTTATGCTGGTTGATTTTTTCCTTATTAATGTACACACTGTTAAATGAGAAACAGCCTTCTTGGTTTCTGTGCACCAGTTTCACATTTTCCCTTTGTAAACCCCTTGACAGTTGATGTGTTGGGAAAAGGTGACCAATATCTACCCTACCCATGAAGTAACCTTAGGGTGTTACTGCTGCTCTTGTGTGTCTCACACATGATGAATCCCTTTTTGTGTTGTAGGTCACTTGATTTAAAAATTGCATCACCTTTCTCCACACAGTGCCTGGAATGCAGCCATTCCTTGGTGAAAGGTAACGCTGCAAATGCAATGTTTGCGTAATATGCAAACACTGAAATAATGGTGTTGGCTACTCTGACATCATGCTAATAAACATCTGCCTGCCTTAGTTTTATGCTGGAGTACATTTTTATTGATTATTTGTAACAACAAAGTTGCACTGACCTCTGTAGAGAGTTGGCACTGGCTGGGTTTGGCTCACAGAAAAAGCAAGCAGCTGCCTCTTATCTCGTGTGTGCTGCTTGCAGCTGCACTGGCTTTCTGAACATTTACTCTCTAGCTTGATACAAATGAAAACATGATTCCTACACTAGTCAGGAAAAACTCCTGCCATTTTTAGCATTCCCACACACATCAGATGCTAGAAATCAAATATTCCTCTGTAATAATTTTATACCTGCACCCTTGTAAAAAGCCAAAATAGTAATAAGTATTTCTGGAAGCTACAGAATATTTATACCAGTTACTGATTAAAAAAAACACAATTTTCTCCCCAGTCACTGAATGTCTCTTTACCCCCCAGCTAAGCACACCAAGCATCTCTGAAAAATGTCCTGTGGTGACAGTTTCAGAAACAAAGAAAAATATCAGCAAGTAGAGGAAAAGATTGAGAAGAGCTCAGTCAGCAATACAGAAATACAGGAATTTAACTAAATCCTAACTTCAGACAACAACACTGAGCTGGCTGCAGACACCAGGTCTCCTCTAAAAGCTGCAGATAACTTATCACTCATAATAAAGAAGCCATTTAACCACCAAAAAACATTTTTAACTGCAGCCATGTCACTCAGTCCAGTGTTTGGTATCTCTGAGCAGTTCCTAGGTTCTCCACATGCACAGGGCTGGGCTGGAAACCCTGCTGACCCCATGGGCTGGACACCCCACTGACCCAGTGCACCTGCCTGCACACAGGGCATGTATGAGACACCACCTGAACTGAGCAGGGCTAACAGAGCCACCATCAGGGGTGAGGGAAAAAAAAAAAAGAAAAAAAACTACTCCAAAAGACCCCACACTTAAATGAAATGTTCCAGGTCATGTTCATAATTGGAGCTCAGCACTGAATCACAGCTGCCATAAATAAAGCATTATATCTACATGTTTCTGCACTGGGAGCTGTGCCTTTCCTCCCTGTCTGACTGCTGTTAATGCAAAGGCAAATGCTCTGTTCACCAAATACCTGCCACAAACACAGCAGTGTCACAGGCCACAGGGTTCTTTGACTGAACTGTGTAAACCTTTTAATGAACCACTAAAACCATCCAGCCAGACTGTTTTTAACTATGCCTTATTTACTGCACGGTAATGTTTCACCTGGGGAATTAAAAAATGGAGCCCACACATCACCCTCCTGCCTAACAGAGAGATGGCAGCTCCTATCAGCAAACACATCAGCAGAGACAGGGATGTGGGGAAGCCCATTCCAGGTGTCCCTGGAGGAGGGACAGCAGAGTCCCTGCAGGGCAGTTGCCACCTGCCACCAAACAGCCCTCGGGCCAACTGAGAGACCTTTGTGATTTCTCATGGATGTGAACCTCTGGAGAAGAATCACCTTGGAAAGGTTTGACTGCAGCATTTATCAGATCAATCCATCAGCTTCAGTACTTCAAAACTGGCTTTTATCTCTGCACTAGCCCTGGCTTTACCAGGACTAAACTTTTACTAGATAACTACTGGCAACACTGCACATTATTGAACACCTTGACTGAATTAATGCAACTGTTTATGCCTGTTGTGCAGGTGCATCATGCAGTATATAAACATGTTATATGGCAAATATATACCGTGCACTGCAATCTCATGGGTGTCCCCAGCACAGCACACCCAGGAATTCCTGCCTGTAACTGCTGCTGTGAGAGCACTGAGCACACCTGCCCACACAGCTGTCCCTGCAGAGCACACAGCTCCAGGGGTGCTTCCCAGAGCAGCTCTAGTGCTTACAACTCACCTCCAACATGTCCTTTATAGAGAACCCCACGATCTATAAAGTTCACAGAATTTCAGCATATTACACCAACCCCAAAACAGATGTAACAAGAGCTCAGCTTTGACCTCCTCCTCAACACAGGGCTACAGAAGCCCCTTATCCTGCAACTCCTCAGTTACATATTCTGCTGTGCAACAGCAACAAAAATCACAAACTCATGTTCTAACTGCAGAATTTGAGACACAAGGTGAGGAAAAGGGAGAATTCTCAGTACCCAGAAATAAGGCCATTCAGCCCAGCCTTAAACAGCCATCATCAGCCTCTCATTAGGTGAAGTACAACAGAGCTGGGAGTCAAAGCAACCTCCAGCAGCCTTTTGTTTAGAAATACAACGTTCACCCTGGCTACAAGGGTCTTTTGCTTTGAACTCCTAGGAAAATAACTTTTAATATGAACTAGTTACCAGCCAATATGGCAGTCACATGAATTATTTCTGAAGGCTACAGCACTCCACAAGCAGATTTTTTCCAGAATTACAAACAACGAATAAACCCAGACTGCCAAAAGTCTTTATCTTTGTATGTCTTGGCACTTCATCAGCAGGATCTCAAGAGTACAGGACTTCCACTATCCAACTGCCTGTGATGTGATCTGGTTTGGAACACCAAACGCAGGACTGGAATTGTACTCTGAAATCCAGCCCTTAGCCTGCAAAGATCTCAAATCTTTAAAGGGTGCTAGTTAGTTTCCACATGCTTTGAAAACCTAGTCCCACAATTAAAAAATTTAATTACTACAATTTGATTTTCATCTTAAATTGTAGAGCATTCAATAAGAGTCTCTTCTCTTCCAACATGCATTCCTAATTAACATAACTCTATTGCTGGACAAAACAGTCCCCAGTCACAAAGCCATTTCACACAGATACTCCAATGCATTTGTCAGGACCCAAATTCTCTTTAGACAAGATGGAAAATAAAGAGTAGTAACATTTCTACTTTTTAAGTTTCTGGATGTGATTTCACAGTTTGATTTTTTCAGAAAAGGAATTATAAGAATAGAATACAATCTAGAATGTTAAAAATAACACTTAAAAATAGCATACACTGGAAGAAAAAAAACCTTCAAAAAGAAAAATGCACTTAGGGATAGAACACTTGTTTCTGGAGGTAAAAAGTATTTACATCTTGCACCTGGAGTATCTATTGCAAGGAATCCAGCATCACATCTTTTCATTAACTTCACTTCACTGGAACAGAGGGGTCATTACCACTTTCAGTACTTCAGAAACTAGAGAGGTATTTTAAGTACAAGACACTGCTAATTGTTACCAAGAGACACCTGTCTTACAAGCAGTTTACAAACATGGTGATTACTGAAATAGAAAACACAGGTGAAAACAATTATTTCCAAGCACAGCCTGAATGGATTGAAACACATTTTGCCTTGATGCCAGGTACTGAGTTCACCCTGGTAACAAGTCCTGTGCAGCCCTTGCAGCCATGAACACCCTGCTGTGAAACACCTGCCTCAACACGAGCCCCCCAGACAGCAGCTATCACACACACAAACAAACATACAGCCTTTTTAATAGCATGGACATCTTCTTCAAAACGTCAAATAGGCACTGCTCAAACATGTTGGTATAAAAACACTGGGAGACATGAACTGTGATTATTATCAGATAAGCATTGGTCCCTACATTTCAGTAAGCCCAGCTTCTCACTGGTTTACTCCAGGAGTGGTTACACAGAATAGTCCAATGTTCTGCACCAAAAAGCAAAAGAAAACAAATTTCCAGTTCTTTTAGGCAGTAAGTAAAAGTATTAGGGGATGACTCTGTGCAAATCCTCCACTTCAAGGTTCCACATATTCTTATGAATGGGGTTTTCAGAGAGATCTGTCATCTTTATAGCTCGAAGAATGGGCTCCGGACTGCAGGACCGCACCACACCCATCACCATTACATACTTCCCTAAAAAACAAGTAAGCATTACATTTCATTAACCTTTGTATTACCATTTAAATTCATAAGCCTAATTACTTAAAACCAAGTAAACAGTACAAATTGAAGATACTAATACTTGTAAGAAAACTCAAGGAATGAAGATTGCTTAGAACTAAATTTCAGAAAAAGGCTTTGTTATCTGTACATTCACTTCTACGGCACATTCAACTACATTTCCACATAGAGTTAAGAACCAAAAAAACCACAAATTTATCCTGCTGTGTGAGTGGACTGAGGATAGGTCAGAGGACTGAAGTTTTAAGCAACGGGCCTATTTTGTACCACAGTTTCTGCAATACTGCAGGCCAACACTTCTCCATTTGAACTGGCAGTTCTGGTGAAGGGAAAAGAAGGAAAAGAAAGCAAGATAGCGAAAAGAAAAATAGGAGAAGAATCTCTCTCCTTGTTCAGGGCCTCCTGCAGGGGGCCAGGCACGGCGGCCGGGCCTGGATGAGCCGA